GCACAACGGAACCCTAATTCCCAGACAGGAACAGTGCAGGGTGATCACAAAATGCCCTTTTCTCACCAGCTAGTTTTCAGCCACAATATTCCCTTAAAGCTGGTTATTACGTTACACACAGAGGGGAGACAAACACTCATATTCATAAACCTTTTGTAACTATTCAGAGTTCAACTCCTATCACTGAAACCTGCATTTGGCACAGAACGTCATCAGTGAATTAAATTACTTTTTATAAGCATGAAACCTTCTACCTGCACCACACACTGATAAAGGACATAACTACAGGATCCCAAATCCCAAATCCTAACTAAATAGAAACCCTTAGGGGGACATGGGTGGGATACAGCTCAGCCTAGATGTTTAATTAATTTTTATCTGTTTCTAATGTATTCTGAATTGCCTGGTGCTGGAGTGAAGATCTGAGGAGTGGAACAATTAATAGATTGGCCACAGCATATCTGTGGCCATCAAGGGATCCAGAAGGTAGGATAATGTGCTGGGAAAAGGGTAAATGCTGAGTTACTGAATGACTGCTACTACAGAAAAGGTACTGACAGACAGATCTGACAGGAAAATGGATCTGTGTCTTTGTCCATGAAATTACTATATGTTCTGTGTATTAATTATGAGATATTACGTTATTTATATTATGCCCATGAAGCCTGTATCTCTCATTTACTCTTTGACACGTGCAATCTCCAAATCCATAGTCTCTCTTTGTTATTTTAGTCCCTCCAAGTTGCTAGAGACAAGACATCTATAGAGACTGCAGCTGCCACTCTAGAACTAAAACCCCAGAGTTTTGCTTATCTTGGGCTGGAGTGGGAGTAAAAAACTGAGGAAGAACTTCAGTTAAAGTCTTCGAAGGCAAAGCTCAGATACACCGCAACTCTGTGCATTCGGACCAACAGACATGGTCTCAAGATCCTTTACTGACATGTACATTCTCAATGATATGAGAATAATGACAACATATATGATGAAATTTGAAAAGGTAAATATTTTTCTGTACTTCGTGACATTGTTTCACTAACTACATGGCATAGGAGGCTCTGTACTCAAAAACCAAATATGTGTAACCACCTGAAGAGTAGTTTGACTCTTAATAAAAAATACCATATCCAAACAGCTGGAGGGGAGGATTAAATGAGGAAGGGAAAGGTGCGGTAAGAAGCAAAAGCAAGCCAATTCTGAATACGAATTCTAATTAAATACAGAATATATTCAAGGAAAGTATGCGGTTTCTGTCGCTTCTCAGCTTTCCCATGTAAGGACGGGTTACTTCCTTACACTCAGCTCCTAGCAGCAGCAGCAGCAACTCTGGCCACAGAGGAGACACGAAGCCAGCCCCATCCATACCCTCCTACCACATCCACTCAGGCAAGTCTCTTCAGACTGCCTGCATGTACTGCTCAGGTTCAGAACAAGCTGCCACCTTCACCAAGGTGCTTCTCCTTCTCCAACATCAGACGGGCTTGCCAGAGCTAGGAACACATTTCTTTAGCAATACTTGAAGCCAGGCTTTTACATATAAGGTTATAAACCAAAGGGTTGGAAGGAAGACAGAACAAAGCACTACAACACTCCGTGCTTTGTAGCTGTTTTCCCCTAACATTTCTGCAGTACACCCTCCTGCATGAACATCCAAGGTTCGAAGTTGCCCAAAGTTTCAGGTGGTTTCATAAATAACAACGGCTCCGTCTCTTGATAGGCTCATAGATATTTGTTCAGAGTCAAGGTCACATACAGAGGCAAAGGTCCTTGCAAGCCCAGGCTTTCTGTGGGTTACTGAAGGTCACCTGCCCTCCCAGGTGCACAGGGGAGGGCCAGAGAACAGCAGACACACTTACTGATGCAATTTTCCAAGGAAAGCACCTTGGTTACCCACAGCCTGTTCCTAGTTAGTCAGCAGGCTAATAAAACCTCTACAAAGCAGGATTTACACAGGATTTTTCAAGGCTGGTGAGGGATATTGCTATACGGAGTATTTAAAAGTTAAGCACAAGCTTTTAAATGCATCACCTTCTATTTTCATACCAGCTTTCTAAGGAGGCTATTTAAAACACAGCATTTCTGAAAATGTCCTGCCAGCTGAATTCCGAGCTACTTGTTTTTATCTTCTCTTTTCTGCAGCTGATCAAGGCTCTGTATTTGTCAAAAAAAAGGAAAAACAGGAAAAAATTCACCTAAGACCTGCATGCAATTACCACAAAAAAGAATCAAAGTCGAAGGACTCGAGTAATTCCCTCAAATCAGATCCCAGGCATGGTAAGCAATCAAACCTGACTTTGAGGATGAGATGTAAGTGCATAGGCGATGTGTATGAATAAGTAGGAGCAGCCCAGCCACATTTTCTTAAGCAAAAAGGTTAACAAACATATTCCCAGCTTGTGTAGGGCTGCTATAATCATTAGGCAGAATGTACAGGCATTTCCTCCACCTCCCTTTAAATAAAATGGTAAAGAATATTTAATTTTTATCATTTTGAACAGACTTAAAGTGCCCAGAATGAATGAGTAAAAGAGCTCATTTTTTCACGTTAAAAAGTAAACTGAAACAAACAAAACCCCTGGCACTGAAAAAATCAG